TCTTATTTTCTTCTAGTAAGAGAATAGCCTGCTTTCGTTGGTCGTCGTCAATGACTTTGTCATTTACTAATTCTTCTATTATTCCTTCCAGAGGTTATATGGGTCGTTCGGTTTCTTCGGATGTCAGAACTTCTTCGATCATCATCAAATATGCTGCCGGGCTCTGCTTATCAATCCATGGGTTAGTATATAAGTCCTCTTGATTATTGGTCAAGTAACTTTCTACTTCATCTAGATCTTCTTCCTCATATGTGTTGAAATAGTCATCTTCCTCGTAATCCTCTTCCTCCTCCTCTTCCGGCTCCTCTATCTTAATTTCTTTTTCTTGGTGAATAGGTAACTCTATGCTTTCTCCTCCATGGGTAATGATCAACTTTTGTTCGTCAAAATATAGGTGTGCACATAACTTCTTAAACCAACTCATTCCTAATAGCATCATTTCTTCCGTAGATTCTATAACTTGAAAGTCTGTTGGTACAGTAATTCTTCCTAGTTGTAGTGCTACGTTCTTCAATTTTCCTAGAGCTCTTTCCCGTGTTCCGTTCGCGGTGACAACAACAGCATTAGATGGTTCCGAAATCTGTAGTCTGAGCTTGGTAAGCAATTTCTTTGACATTATGCTCACTGCTGCTCCAGAGTCCAATACTGCTACGACTGGTTTGTTTCTTATTTTCATATTACATCTAGCTGCTGAGGTTCATTGAGGCTGGTCTTCCACATAGTCAACTTCTGTGGAAGTGATGATAGGTCGTTTCAACACTTGTGCCAGGTGCTGTCGTTGCTTCAGAATTTGTAATAGTTGGGCATACGTGGCATTGGCTCTCTGTCTCAACAAGTCTTCTGCAACGTTGTATAGGGGTGCTTGGTCTACTACTGATGGTCCTCTCTGGTGCTTGACTCGTGGCGTGGCATTCTTTTTTGTAGGTTCCGCCGTGATCTCCATTTCTACTGGTTGTGTTGATTGGGTGCGCTCTTCTTGTTGTACCAGTCGTGCTTGTTCTGTTTGTTGTGGCTGGTTCTCAATTCTTACAGTAGGTTCCTTACTCAATTCATCCTTTTTAGGATGATTAATAGTGTACGGCTGGTGTCGTGATCTAGTAGCAACGTAAGCTTCGTCGTCGCTGTTTTCTACTTTGCAAAGGTTCGTGTCATGAGGGTTGACAACTTGTGGTGGTATTCTTCTTGACGGCTCGGGGCATTCACGGGCTCTATGTCCCTGTCTTCCACAATTGAAGCATCCGGTGGGTCGGTAACTCTGGTTTCTAGTATTTTCCTTTTCTCTCATCATCGTGGTCAGCTTTGATGATATTTCTTGTACTTGTTTCGTTAGACTGCTGATGGTGTTATTGGCTGGATTATTCTCCTTTCTTTTGCCGATATAGTATTCTCCAGCTTCCAGTTTTCGTGCACTTGCGATCGCATCATTTAGTGTGGTGGGCTTTACCAGTGGCATTAACCTTGCAATCTCTCCTTTCAATCCGCCAGTGAATAATCGTATGACATACGTAGTCGGCAGGCAATGTTCTAAGTTTACGCGTCTTAACAACTGCTTGAACCGGTATGCATAAGTATTCACTTTCTCTTCGTTCTTCTGTATTATCGTGTTAAGCTCCATCTGCCATTTGTGTCTTCATTCCGGGGTGGCGAAATATTCCATGAACCTCGGGACGAAACTTCGATCCCTGTGTTCGTCATCGTCCCAGTGGTCTATGGTGCGCCAATTATCGTCGTACCAACTGACTGCTATCCCGGCGAGGTATCCAGAGGCAATTTGTGTTCTTTTTTGTTCTGTCCAATTGTTTGCCATTGCTGCTCTTTCGAAGGCCTTTATCCATTCTATGGGGTCTTCTTGTTCTGTCCCGTAGTATATCCTTACTGGCACCCAGTTCGTTTCTCGTCCAATCTGTTCTTGGCGTTCGGGTGTCCTCCTCATTGCTTTTGCCGTAGCATCGCGGCAAGTTCTAAAAATCTCTTCCAAAAATAAGTACATATTGTTTTCACGAGTAGGAGTGGCTGCTCTTGATCGTCTGTTGTATTTATCTCCAAAAAAGTTTACAGGTTCTTTGACGTGGGCCATCTTGTGTGTTTTTAATAAAAGAAATAATAAAAGAAATCGTTTGCAAGAAAAATCGGGGGAGAGGGGTAATAAAGTGTCGTTTTGTTCAAAGTGTTTCTTTTTTGTTTCTTTTTTTTGTTTTTTTTTTGTAACTATATCGTTATTTAATCAGGTATTAATTTGTTCGTAACTATATCGTTATTTAATCAGGTATTAATTTGTTCGTTCAAAAAAATCAGGGGGGGGGGGGGAAGGGAGTAGTGATCTTTGTTTCGCTTGAATCTCACAGTGCCAATCAAGAACTGCAATTTTTGAAGTATTGACTAGATATTATGCATATGTGCGGAAACCCACCACAGCTATATGAACTGGAAACAATGTAATTGACAAGATGATTTACAGAAGAATTAGTAAATGACAAAGTCATTGACGACGACCAACGAAAGCAGGCTATTCTCTTACTAGAAGAAAATAAGA